ATCTCTTATAATAAGAAACACCTGGCATCCTTCTAGGGCCAAGCTTTCTGGCCCTCCAGTAAGACACATTCTTTATAATAAGGGACATTTGCCAACTATTGACTGCTAAATAGGTGTCTTCCACAGTGATATATAGGACCATCCAAAATCCACAAAACAGTGATACCTTTATTGGGCCAACCAATATTACTGTTATCGCAGATATCACTGTTTCATGGATTTTTGATGATCCTGTACTTCGCTATATGGCCAACATGGCTATCCTTAGATATGTTTTCCTGGTTACCCTGTGTTGCACTTTAACACCAGGGGGTCTTATGATACCTTAAAGCAGGGGTAGGCAACCTTTTTGAGCTGGGGGCCGGGTTGCTGTCCCTCAGACAATTGAGGGGCCAAAGCACCAAAAATAAATAAATAAATAAATAAATAAATAAATAAATAAATGCACACTCTCTCAGCCCCAGAAAAACCATGGCAAAACCCCTGTGGAGATTTTGCCAAGAAAACCCCAAGAACAAGTAATAACAACAATAATCAATATCATCATGGCAGGGGGCGGCGGGGGGGGGGGGGGGGGGCAGGACTGGCCTGGACAAGTTGCCTACTCTTGCCTTAAAGGCTTGCAAATTTGTTTGCAGCAGGGCCCAAAAGCTTACTGTGTAGTACAATAAGCACATCTGAGCCCAGTGGAAATGAATATGATTATTGTTGGTGTTGCTGTTCTTTTCACCAACATGCATATTTTGCTGTGGTTTCTGATTTCCTTTCGCCAATGGCTAAATCAAGAAGATCAAGGAGGGGATCTATAGAATAAGTTGTAACTTCTGTGCGTCACTGCCAACGCCTTCTATGTGTGCTGTTTCCAACAGGCCCCTCACATTGGCGTTAAGTGCCTGCCATCTCCAGGCAAGCGTTGGCTTCACAGCCTGGCCAGCATGATGTGAAAATAGCAGCAAAAGAAAGGAAACAAATGTGCCTTAAATAGACCATTGCTGTTGTTGAATACAATCTTGACATGGGGGGGGGAACCTCCTTTAAACACTGTCACTGTGTTTCCAGCTGTTAAAATCAGCCATATTTAGTCATCATAATAACCAAAAGCAGCTGTTGATTTGAGCAGCAGGGAGGTGGCCCTATTACTCAGGAGGGTTTTTAAATGATCACGTTTTCTTCATCACAGTGGTGCTTTCTTGCCTATTAAAAATCTCTCTGTAGTCCTGGCACCTCCAGCCCAGATGACTAGTATGGCATCTTCCTATTGGTAGTGCTTAGCAACGCTGAAGTTCTCCATGGCCTCAACAAGCTGCCAAAGAAAGATGCTTTGCAGGCATCTCATAAGAAGCAAAATGTGGGATGGAGGGGCGGGGAGAACCCAACTACCTCTCTCGCACTTCTGAAAGGGAAAGAAAGTGTTTCTTTTATTTTTAGAAGAGCATGAGAATGTGGTTCTGAGATTAGCTTTTGTAACTAAGGGAAACCAAGTGGCCGTCCGGTACTGAGGAGATGGAAAAGATTGTGGCTGCAACCACACTGCAGATATAATCTGGTTTGACACCACTTTAACTACCATTTCTCAATACTGTGTAAGTGAGTAAATAAATTTATTTGTGTAGCATAAGCTATTGCAAAAAGGGAATCCAAATAAAACACAAAAATCAGATACATTATAAAAATAGTATGCTACATCACATAGCTATCGGTCTGTCCTTCAGCCAGAGGCACAGCAACAGTCAGTGCTATGGAATTCTGGGAATTGCAGGCATTTCCTGAATAGATATCTTGGCCACCAAGAGATAGCCCAACCTGCTCCCCCGATTCTGCTGCAGTTATAGTTATTGTTATTTGGTTATTTGTATTTGATTTTAAGTGTGTTTTAAATTGTTATTATTTAATAGTATTTTAAGGGTGGGTAGGATTGTGGGATATGAAATGTATACTTTTAATGTTGTAAGCCGCCCCAGTTGCGTTATTCAGAGGGGCGGGATAAAAATAAATTTTATTATTATTTATTATTGTTGTGGCACCAGAGCAAAACAAAGCTCTGGTGCCACAACATACAGTTCCCAGAATTCCATAGCATTAAGCCAAGGCAATTAAAGTGGTGTCAAACAGGATTATGTATGCAGTGCAGATGCAGCCTGTGAGAAAGACCATAAACATCAGAAAAAGGCAGGTCCAGTGCCCAATTACATACAAATGGCTATGAGAAATATACTAGAAGTAGCTAGATCTGAAATCCCTTGCATAAATGAAATCAGGCCATACTGCTGTGTAGTTGTACCAGACAGCTCACCTTTCTCACTGGTTCCCCATTTATCATGATTATTGTTAATTCTTTCTTTGGAAATCATGTCCAGAAGCTTAAGCAATAGAAGATTAACCTACACTTAGACTGCATGGAGAATGGCCACTTCTGCTGAGAGTCTGAATTTTAGCAGGGTTAATTAAACTTGGCCATATAATAGATTGTCATCTGCATTACATTCCACCACCACCAGTTTACCTGAATAATTTTGCATAATTGTGTCAGAATTCACTCAAACCACACAGTACACAGTAATGGAAGAGGCCAGAAATTCTTACAGAACTACAGTTTGCTGGATTGCCTGACATATCATTACATTGTGGCTGCTGCACAAGCAGCTACCTGAAAGTCTTCCAGATTCTAGCCAGTTTTTAAAATTCAGCATTTGGGCTAGCTTGCTTTGCAAAAGGCTTCAATATTTTCCAATACACTCCAACAATTTCAATTAGGCAAGGATGGTTCCAGTTAATTCACTGTCATCCCACTTTTCTCCCTGCCCTTAAAATGTCCCATTTTCTCTCTCCTCCCTGAAAATTGAGCTCAAAGTGCAAAAGCAGTCTGTACTCCATTAACTCAGAACAGAGGGAAGGAAGTGAGGGAGGTTATCACCCCCCCTTCCCAGTAGGTTTAAGCAAAAGCAATGTGTTTCCGCCTCTTCTAGTTTGTGTGCTCTTCTTCGTTGATAACTTTTGCGACCATGACTCTGATGTTGCTTGACCACATGTTGCCCAATTTTCATTTGTCAAATGTTGGAGGGTATATTTTCCCCCTTGTTTTTCTGGTGGTTTCACAGATGGTTTGACAGGACCAATATTTATGTAATTGCTCTTGATTAAAACAATATAATATATAATTGCTCTTGATTAAAACAACAGCAAACATGCAACATGGATACTATTAGAAACAACAGCAAACATGCAGCATGGTTACTATTGGATATATAATGGCAATGGATTGGATCAAGACCTAAGTTAGTTTTATGAGTTTATCGCATGGACAAAAAAACCAACTGCACCCTAACAGGATGCAGCTGGGATGTGGGATGCAGGCAGGAATTATTGCACATAATTCACCGCAAATTCTGCTGGACGAGAACAACCCAGCTACATCCTGGGTCCCAGGAATACTTCAGAGGCTACTTTTCAAAATCAGAAAGCTCCCAGCTTTGAAAAGCGGCCTCCGAAGCATGCCTGGGGCCCAGGATGCAGCTGGGTTGTACTCAGCCAGTGGAATTGGCAGTGAATTACATGCGATAATTCCCCCTTGCATCCCGCATCCCGACTGCATCCTGTTAGGGTACAGTCAAGTTTCTTGTCCATGCAATAAACTCCTTACTTAGGTTCCATTGATTTAAGTGGAAATGAAATCAGACTAACTTGTTTCACTGATTTCAGTGATGTTGTAAGTCAGCAAATATAGCCCATTATATTTCACCTTGCAGAAATCATGTATTACAATAGGAAAGGATATTGAGACTGGTGTTTTGTTTTTTACAAAATGTTAGAAATTTTATACAGCAAGAAGTACTAAATGCTATCTGCTCTGGCAGATCATTGTGGTTGCCCATGGTGATGTAAACAGACAACCATTTTTGTGTTGGATTCAGTTAGCTACAGCAGCTTTGAATCCAGAAACTGTCATGAATAAAATGATAATCAAGTGTAGATAAAGGTCATCCCTGCAGAGAAATAGATACAGATATCATGTTTTCTGCTTTTTACTTGTTCTTAAAAATGAGTGTAGCATCCAGCAAAAGCAGTGATCATTTTCTTAAATGATAAAGAGGAAGCTAAGCCAGAATGTGCTTTCTAGTAAAGCACACACACCCATGAAAAATCATTAACTGTCTGGATCTTACAGTTTCGATCCATTTATCCTGCCTTCAGTAGTCATGTTCTTGGAGATTATCTCAAATAATCTTTCCACTTACTCCAAACCATTACCCCCTTTCAACACCAGTATTACATTTTTCAAAACGGTCTATGGTGTTCCCCCTTTAAAAGAAGCATTTCCCCTCCATTTGGATCCCCAGGTGAAACAAGGGACAGGGCTTCTGTAGCCGCAATTGTTGTTCATTCTCTCTCTACTTGCAAAATGGTTGTATATAGTCACAGTGTTCTGGGAACAGGGGAAACTAAAACATAAACAATTATGTCATCTTGTTGCATGTGTGTGTTGTTTACATTTACCACCTGTAGGCTCCAAAATTTTCCCAGCAAAAATGTTCCCACATCTGTACATTTCCACTTTAACTACATATCCTAACATTCCTAACATTATACGGAGTTATGGTGCTGGGTGTTATCAGTACGCTGATGACA